CTCTAGAGTTTTCCTCGACTTTTGCATTTTCCTCTCTCAGTTGACACACATCCATTTCCAACTCTGCTATTCTCTCCTTCAGATTGGTGACCGTCTGCCTCAAAAGTTCATTTTCACTCACTTGGCTACGGAAGTTCTCCTGTAAAGAAAGCAAGTCCTCACTTTTCGCTTGGATTCGGAGCTCCTGATCCTGAATGAAGTTTTGTAGAACGGCCTGTTTCTCCTTCAGCTGCTCGATGTCGGAATCCCTGTGTTCCTGTTCTTGGCCTTCTCCTTCCCACGTGGCAGCCACGGAATCAGTCCATCTCTGCTTATCTTCCTGGAGGGTTCGAATCATTCTATCTTTTTCTTGCATTGATTTTCTCAGCTCTTCTACCTCCGCTTGGAGCAACTGAGAAGCCTCACTCACTCTGTCAGATTTCATGGGCTCCAGAGAGTCCGCTGACTCTGAGGAGTCGGAGGAGGGCTGGAGGAAAATCACGTCCAGTTTCCCTAGAAGGAGATCCTTGGCATTGCAAAGCTCCCCGATGCTGAGCTGAATTTGTGCCAGTTCCTTCTCTAAATGTTGTAATTTTATTTCATTGCCTTTGTACGTCTGGATCAGGTCACTAGAGGTCGTCTGTAGTTCAGAATCCTTCTCGCTGCTGGTGAAAGCCCGCGCCTGGAGTTGTGCCAGATCTCTCTCAAGCTGGGGTGACTCACGCTTCATATCTTGGACTGTGGTCATCACCTGCTGTTTCCACTCTTCCATGATCTTCACTCGCTGTTTTAATGTGTCCCGTTCCTGTAGAAGCTGCTTGAACTGATCCATAGTAACGCCTCGAACCTCATTCCCAGGGCTGGATGGTTGCAGGAGTGTCAATAAAGTCTGACATTTCTGACTTAACGCATCCACTTCGAGGTCTTTTCCTCGAACAATGTGTGATAAATTCTGAATCGTTTCTCTAAACATCTCCTGACCACTACTGTCAATTCTAGTGGACAGTTTTTGATTTTCCTCTTGCATCCGCCGGAGGTCTGCTTCTGTGGCAGCCATCCTATCTGCCATTTTGTCATACTCCGTCCTCAGATTGCTGTTCTCCCTCGTTTTCTCATTTAAGACAGCCAAGACCTATTCGCTTTTCCAAGCATACTCTTGAAATTGCCGCTGAAGTCGCTCCACGTCCCCGTTCTGGCTGTGAGAAGCTGCAGAGATCCTGCTGGAAAGACCCTGAATCTCCAAGTCTTTCTGCTGGATAATCTGAGTTAGTTTACCAATCTCCTCTTTGGAGAGCCGATCGATCTGTTCCGTCAGTCGGATGTTCTGTTCAGTTAGAAGCTTCATCTCCAGTTCGTGGTCTTTGATTCCTAGGACTAATCTTTGAGTTTCGGCTTCACGTGAATCAAGCTTTTCACTTCCGTTTTCTCTGGGAAGAGGCTGACTGGTTGTGACTTCCACATCATCACAGTCTTCTGTTGGAATGTGCTGGCTTTGTCAGGCAACCGGGCTTTCATTTGTTCTATCGTGTCCTGCAAATGCTGAATCTCCTCGTCTTTCGCTGAAAGGAGCTGAGCGTGTTCAATATTCATCTGCTCCTGCCGGTATTGGAGCTGCTCCACTTTCTGCTTCTGCTCTTGTAAAGAATGAAGCAGTCCTATCTTCCCCTGCTGCTGGTTGTGAATGATCTTCTGTTGCTCTCTGATTTCCTCCTC